GCTACAATGACCGCGGAACTAGGCCCGCATTGAGGGTGATACATTGCTGGAAAAATTGTTTGCAATCAATTTCTTCCCGAATGTTAAACGGTTGCGGCTGCCTTTTTACACTCTAAAAGTGAAAAGAGTTCTACAAGAGTGGATTTACCACCAGGGGACTATAAATGAGATTCGATGGCAAAGACTATGCTACCTAGCAAAAGATATTCAGGAACCTCCTGTAGCTGCTCAATTCGGCTATAGAACCTACAGACTACTTCAACTGTTTGAATAATGTGGACGACCATGACTTGGTTGAAACTAGCCTTTAACATTTAGCTGGGTTTTAATAAAAATTACAGATTCAGGCCAAGTTTGGGCAACAGACAAATCGGTATCAGTTTCAACACACAAAGAAACATCTGGAAATGATAGTAGCTTCCAGTGAATAATAACTTGACCAACCACAGTGCGGAATGACCGTTGCCCAGCATAGGAGGCTATTTGTCGAGCACGTGGACAGGAGGCGAGAACCCGAGCGATCATCTCATCCGAGGCGAACTCGAATGCCTTGACCGAACTCCCGCCTGTCTCTGGAAAGCAAGAATGATAGCGTACAATAGATTCAAATCTTGCAAGATGATGAGACCAAAAGTTCTCAAGGTGCTATGTACCTTCAATAGTAGAATCTTGTGATGAAGAATTACGAGGTGAGGTGTTATTAGCACTGTCCGTAGAGTTTCCTGTCTCGTGAGATCGGGTTTCTGGACTCGAATTGTTATTCCGATTCAGCGACATCGCACGCCTTCGCTCCACCGCTCTACCCAAGAATAAAGGCGCAAAAAATCAAGTCAAAACTGATCAGCGAAGTTTATACGTCACCTTGGATATTCAGAGGGACCTTTATTCACTAATCAGGTAGCTTTTAGCAATGCATGGGAAAAAAAAATAAAAATTTTCATCTCAGTATAAATAGGCTTATGCGCTTTCTGACTTTTATGATAAAATCGTTACACAAGACCCAACATTAGGGCTAAAAAGTGACGAAGGAATTGTGTTTACTGCAAACCTAAAATGAACCATAAGCTTCTATACTGTTTTAATAATTTGCTAATTTTAGTTTCAAATTAAAAGCAGGAGCACCACTTTATGTTAAAATACATTAAATGAGCAATCAAAGAACGAGTAAAAAGTTAACGAACCCGGCCAGAAGCATTGCAAAAATGATACTGGCTGCACCTGAAACTAAGAAGAAAATTGCTTAGCAATGAGTCGGTTCGCAATAACGTTTGTCATGAAGTGCTTCAAATTTGTATGCATCTGAGTCAGGACATTGTCCCAATTCAAACCAGCAGGTCAGAGTTCAGATCCTCGGAATATGGCGAGCGTACACGCCTGTCAATTAGTTTGCTCGAGAGGCTACGGCTCTTGCATAATCGTGTTCGCTTCAGATAACTTCACTTCGGAAGAGCAGTAGCGCACATGAAATGGCCGGTTAAATAGAACTGCATAAAATTCCGGTTGAGGAGCCTTTGAAAATGTTTGCGAATATTCAATTCCCCATATCATAGTCAGGATGTGAATAATATACACGGGTTGCAAACGTGCTAATGCCAATAATAACCTCTCATACCAATACCAGCTACCGTTAACCACGTGGCCACCGCTGTTTTTTCAATTTGATGTCAGTGTTAACGAAAACACCTGATACTGTGTCACTATCCTCCATAAAAATTCTTCTTGCTCGTAGAATTGGAACTAATATTGCAACGCCTGAAGACGCTCAAAATATTCCGTCTCAAGCACTGTCTGGTCAGAATATAACATCACAAAACGAAAATTGCCGATGTTTATAACTTGTGGGTAATGTCTTCAAGAAATTCTAGTGGCTCAAATTATGGCAGACTAATACGACTGTTGAATTAAATGGGTCCATGATCTTCTATAGACTATATTCAACATTCCAACTTAAGAGATGACTCAAGATACTACATTGACAGCAGCGATACGTGAACCTAAACCAAGCAAACAACAACACATTCCTCATAGTGATTACTAGATATAAACTTCTCAGAGAAATAATGTCTGTCTGAGGTCCTATAAAAAAATAACTGCTGTCTGCGAAGGCACGCCAGCACAGTAAGACCGGTTTTCCTTAAAAATAAATCGACCTCGATGGTTTCAAAGAAAGCC